TAGTAAATGTATTGTTCATTGTTTGTTCATGTTAGTAAATGCATTAATTAACATTAACCAATGAACCTTATTGTAAAGTGTGACCTTTTATTTTATGTATTTGTATATATATATATTACAAACTACTTTACAAAGGCCAGCTTTAGGTCTGTATAACAGCCATTTGAGCTTCTACCATTTCTTCAACAACAGCAGAGTAGCAGGAGACTGCAGACCTAGAGCCAGTATATATACCCCACATGCAGTTTTACCTCCCTGTTGTTCATAATCAAGGATATACAGCTAGTGCTTACACATTAATAACTTGCCTCTGTAGACATTGACAAATTGATTTATTTCTTTATATTTTTTTTTTCAGATGAACATGATCTGCACTACTGTTTCATATGTAGAGATATTCTTCATACCTAGCCCAAATGAAATAATGGATGCAACTGAATATAGTATTTTTGTTCCTTCACAAAAGGTTTTGAGAGGGAAGTAGTACGTGGATTGAAATGCATATAGGGTACAATATTTAATATCTGTTTATTATGAATATTTATTTCAATCCTCTTCAAGATTGAATTGACTAAAAATATTTTTGTAATCAACTTTTACATTTTCACAGAGACTGTTGCTTTTCAGCACCTGTCAATCATCTGCACTTCCTCCGCTTGTGTTTTCAATTTAATTTACTCCCTTTTTTTCATGTTTATTGCCGAGATGCCTGCAGGACACGCTGGTTCATCTTTTTTTTTTTTCTTTTTTTGAATTCCTTTATGATCATGTGACAGTGATAATGACTTTAGGTGAAGTTATTATTCCATGTGCCATTATTCTGTATTTCATAATTTATAGTTTTGGTATAGAGATTTGCTAAATGCTGTGGACATGTGACCGATTTATCTATCTATCTATCTATCTATCTATCTATCTATCTATCTATCTATCTATCTATCTATCTATCTATCTATCTATCTATCTATCTATCTATCTATCTATCTATCTATCTATCTATCTATCTATCTATCTATCTATCTATCTATCTATCTATCTATCTATCTATCTATCTATCTATCTATCTATCTATCTATCTATCTATCTATCTATCTATCTATCTATCTATCTATCTATCTATCTATCTACTTAATTATTTGATTTTATATATTTATTTATTTATTTATATATATATATATATATATATATATATATATATATATTGATTGATTTATTGGTAATTCAATAATTTGGTATATGTGTTATTCCTGATAAGAATTTAATATTTAATAATTTATAAATTATAAAAAAAAATCTAAATAATTATATAAAGACATTTTATAAATGTTTATTTTAATTATTTGCTTTTTCTTTCTTTCTTTCTTTCTTTCTTTCTTTCTTTCTTTCTTTCTTTCTTTCTTTCTTTCTTTCTTTCTTTCTTTCTTTCTTTCTTTCTTTCTTTCTTTCTTTATTTCTTTCTTTCTTTCTTCTTTATATTTTCTTTATATTTCTTTCTACTTTATATTTTAAAGGGTTTCCACAAGGTCTTAAATATAGGTTTTAATTTCAAAAACAAAGAAAAAATTTTCAAAACAAAATTTTAGACCTTGCAAATCATTACATTGACTGAAATGTTGTGTTGTATTTGAACCTTGAATCATTTTAAACAGGTATTCCTTTTCCTACTTCCATGTAAAGCTACCCAATCACCTATCCAACCACCAGCAATCTATCTCAGTAGAACTTTTAACAAATATTACATTTTAAACTCTATTTACCAATATGATTAAATTGCCTTCATAACAATACTATTTGTTTAAATGTTTTCCATGTAATTGTAGCTAGCTGGTGGGGACACTGACCTGGACACTGTTCTGCATTAAGTTTATAATAGTTTTTAAAACTTCTTTGAAAAAAAAAAAAAAAGTTATGTTGAAAAATAAAATGCGTGTATGCAATGAGTTTGCTTGTTTTGACACATTATTAAAGGTTCAGGACACCTTGGAGAACTTTTTTTATATATATATATATTGATGTGTGTGTGTTGAGCATCAGTAAAGACAATGTTAGCACCTGTCAACTTTAATTGTGGGGAAAACTGGATAATTTTGAGCTTTTGTCAGCTAATTTCAGCTTCCGGGTTTAAAATGATTTTTGGGGCGGGATCAAAATCGACGACGTAGCGCAGTACTGCTAGTGCAATGATGACGCGTCGGTTTTTCATTATTATTCATAGCGGAGTTTTCTTATCCTATGAGAAGAGCTGGCTGCTTAATTATTCATGAGAGCACGTGCTTTCCGAAGGCAAGGCAGACCTGCCAGTTTCAAGCAAGCTGTGAGACACGGACCCACGGCATGCAGTAGCCGTTCATGAAGGCTCATATGTGTTTGTTTCCATGATCCACGGGGTTTGTTGCATGTTTTTTCCCCGTGAACTTGTCAGGGCCGATCATACAGCAAAGCCGTTGTCTTTTATCAGGAATTCGTTCACATTCAGACCAGAGGCATTGCGAGGGGGGGGCTTTGGGGGCTTAAGCCCCTGATGTATTTTCAAAAGCCCCTGATCTTTTGGAATATGTTGCACTTAAATAAAAATATGTTGTAAACATTTATTTTGTTATCTGAGTATACTGAAAATTACCACATACATCACGAACGTTCCACTTAACGCAGCGTTTGTGTCAGGTATTTAAATCATCAGCTGTTCAGCAGTACCTGTTTTTACCGGCAGGTGGGAGTGGCTCTGTTGTCACATGGTGTTAAAAAATGCCACTGCACTTCATTCATTCATTATTTTGAGGAGCTGAAGCTATGAGGTAATAATACAACTCTTTCGCGAAACTGATTAGTTGTAACTACTGATGAACTATTTGTTTCCACAGTATAAAATGTGTGTAGTTTAAATACATGCGAATTAGTCAAAAAATGTAAATTGTACTAGCTTTCTAGATATGATATAGATATTTTGGCATATTTATATGATATAGCCAGTCACATCAGTTTCTGTAATAAAATCACAGTGAGTTCATGCATCTAGCTTATTATAAAGCTATATTCTACTGTAACATGCTATGTCAGTTAGCATCGAATTATAAATCGACTTTCTTATGAAAATACCTAAAATGGTTGGAAGAACACATACAGTTGAAGTCTAAATTATTAGCCCGTTTATTTTTTTCCCCAAATTCTGTTTAACACAGAGAATATTTTTTTCAACACGTTTCTAAACATAATAGTTTTAATAACTCAACTCTAATAACTGAATTATTTTATCTTTGCCATGATGACAGTAAATAATATTAGACTAGACATTTTTTAAGACACTTCTATACAGCTTAAAGTGACATTTAAAGGCAGAGTAGGGTAATTAAGTTATTGTATAATGATGGTTTATTCTGTAGACTATAGGGAAAAAATATATATCTTAAAGGGGCTGATAATTTTGACCCTAAAATGTTTTTTTAAAAATGTAAAAGTGCTTTTATTCTAGCTGAAATAAAACAAATAAGACTTTCTTCAAAAGAAAAATATTATCAGACATAGGCTACTGTGAAAATGTCATTGCTCTGTTCAACATCATTTGGGAAATATTTAAAAAATAAAATAAAATTTTATTTTATTTTATAAAACATTTATTGTCTCAGTCCTGTAAATGATCAGTTAAACCCTTTTTATGTTTATTCAGATCTTATTGTCATTCTACTACAGCAATATCTGGATGTCTTCACCCATATTAGAGATTTCCTAAAATGTTCTACTACTTTTGTGAGGCATATATGCAATTTCTGCTCAAGTATGAATAAAACAGGCATTACATCCTTTTAAAGTGCTACAATGCCCACATCACCCTATTTTGAAGAAAACTGAAAAAAAAAATAACTTCCTTCGGGCTAAGCCCCTTATCCCTTTCGACCCTAGCAACGCCCCTGATTCAGACACAACACCGTGCTGCTGTGTTTGCCTAAATCCTCAATATTACCAGCAGGGCTAATGATTAAAATAGGCCGGTCAGGAGACCTGCTGCACTGAGTCTGCATTAAGATCTATAATTTATACCCGGGGATCGAGGGAGAATCCTCATTTATAGTGTTTACATGACACAATAATCTTTATATTGATATAAATTGTGGTTATGTGTATATGAAATTACGGATAATAAATGTAGCAGGGCATTAAATTACTGTTTATTTCTTTGCATTTTAACTTTGTGAACTATAAACTCATGCGTCTCCTCACGGTTTGTGTCTCATTTTGTAAGCTAACTGTCAACAACAGTTGTTCGCTCCCCTTCTCCCGTGCTGGCCACGCCCACTCCTGCCCTATGCTACCGGAGCTCCACGCCCATTAATCATGCATCTTTGAAAAAATTCTGAAGTAGACTTTAACCGAAAGTGGGGGGTGTCATGGCCCTTTAAAAAATTATGCAGCTAAAAATAACTAGATTTTTTATTTATTTATTTATTTAAATCAGGCCATTAAATATGTATGTATAAGTCTGAAATGTTATTCATAATGGTCTTATAAAAGTTTTTAAAAGTCTCAAATTTAACTTGATGAAACCATGTAATATATCAGTCTCTTATTTTTAAGCACACGGTATATGGTTCTTATGTCAAAATCATTCAAAATGATTCATATAGCACAATACAGATTGAATGTTTCAACACACCATCTCATGACAAGCTATTATTTCCTTAGCCGTGTGCTTTCATCTCAGCAATGTTTCCCTGATGAAAGAAATTATGGCAGAATTGCTAAGATGCGTCATCAAAAATCAAAACCTGCCTGTGGAGATTGATGTAATTTTTAATATCAAATTACCACCAACTTCTCTTTCAATTTCATTTCTGTTTTTCCTTCCTGTTTGTCTGTAAGTTTGTTGAGGTGATTGTCTCTTAAGGAGAAATTGAGATGGTTGCAGACTAGATTTGAACCTGAATCATCCACATAAGCACCACGTTGTATGTTTTTTGCCTTTCTCTGGGATCTAACATTTTTTTCTGTCTCTTTTGTTACTTCAGAAGCGAAGGAGATTGTGCTGAAAGCTCAGATTTTAGCGGGAGGAAGAGGGAAAGGAGTGTTCAACAGTGGCCTGAAAGGAGGAGTGCATTTAACAAAAGAGTGAGTACCTGCCCAGACCCACTTTCTGAGAGAGGATAGTACTTGCTTTTAAAGCCCTTTTTCCATCTGATATAAAGAAAACATCTGAAAAAAAAGAATTATATAATGTTTGTTTTGTCACTCTTTATTGAATTGTGTCTGCAGATTTTAATTATAGTACATTTTCTCCTTCATTGAGCCATAAATCTGCACGTCAACAGCACTCACATGCACCAAACTTCAGTATTATATCAATATTGTGAAGTATTTTTTTCAATCACACAAAATATGCTTCATTATATACATTATTTCATTCTACAAATTGTGAAAAGTTTTTTTTGGCTGTTTAAAGTTTTTACAGTATTATGGGGTGATTAAAAAAAGAGAAATCCAAAATATAAAAACCTTTGACTCTAATGTCCGAACAAAGCATGAATTTTATACCTTACTTCATCCAATTTTCATTCTGTAAATGTATGCAAATGAGTGCATATTTAATTATGTCAATGCGCCGTTTGCATATTTACGCAAAACGTATTAGAAAACTTGTGATGCAAATAATATTTTCCTAATGTAATTATTCAAATGGGTAATAATGGTGATCAGTGTTCATTTTGTACACAATGCGTCACTTTAAAACTCATATCTCGACACCCTCACCAAGAAAATGACCCAAAATATCCTGCTGCTCTCAGCATTTGCGATGTCCTTAAAACTCTGTTGTAATGCAGAATGATGGATCTCTTGGCTGAACAAATTATAAGCATGATAGAAACCATAAAAATGTTGTGAACAAACCCTTGAGAATGAAGTAGACGTGTGAAATATAGCAATCTCTGAAAACTTTAGCAGAAAGCCATGAGTTTTCCTCAAGTAGGGGCTGATTTATGACTGAATGTCTGCGTCGTGAATCACTGTCACATAGTGTACTCCGGCATTTGGGATGAAGAGAATTGTCCAGAGAAAACACTCTGAAACGCAGCCTGATCTGTTTTATCTAGCAAATGAGCACAGCTCTTTCTCTGGCCCTGAGAGATTGCTAGAGTTTGCTAGTATGTGTTTCTTAAAGTTTATTTAGTCATTGGTTTGCACCATATTGACTTGCAGTACACTAGAAAGATCACAGGGAATGATGAGAGATTTAAAGAGACTTAAGGCCCTACCATACATCCGGCGCAATGCGGCACAAATGTTATTTTCTAGTTTCAGCTTGACGCAAGTTTCATTTTGACGTTTTGTGCCACACTGTTTAAATAGCGAATGCATTTGCAGTCAAAGGGCGACGCAGTGGCGCAGTGGGTAGCATGATCGCCTCACAGCAAGAAGGTCACTGGTTCAAGCCTCGGCTGGGTCGGTTGGCATTTCTATGTTGAGTTTGCATGATACACAAATATCTTTAATAATGAAAAAGAATTAAATTAATAAAATGTCACAAAAATGATCACTTACTACATAAATATAAAAACCACTGCTTTCATGCCTTCATCTGGGGGGGCTTTTTCAGTTTATTTACGGCAATTTGCTTTTGTATAATCTTATTATTATTATTAGTAGCATTATTTATTATATGCATATTTATATTTTTTATTATTACTTTTTTTAACAAGCTTAGATTTGTTCACCTGTCAGGTTTTGGACTATATAGGGCATAGCACGTGTGTTTGGATATAAGTCTGTTTTCGGACCACACTTTGTTGTTATTGTTAATTTATTCAGTTACTGGAAATTAGAACTGAATTTAGAAATAGTCTTGAAACAAATATTTGCGCTTAACAAACTAAATTAATTATGTAGACTAATAGATGTCTTCAGTGGAGTGTACAACACTGTTTCTTTATCAATGAAAGAAAGAAAAAGAAAGTGAAAGTAAAGGCCGATTGGAGGAGGCTCATTTTTATCCTTACTGCAGATGATCTGTTTAACTGTTTTCCTGCTAGTGAAGTGTTCAGTTTTTCCACTCACAAATTCCGCCATGTAAATAGCAAGTGCTCTATGGCATGAAGCAACTGACTCTTAAAGGGAATGGGAGATGAGACTCTGCCTGGTATATTCTCAAAACACACCTATAACTCAGTAAGAGAATAAGCTCAACCCTGTTAGACCATGTGTTGTGGCGCAAATCATGTTTTTCCTTTATTAAAATAGCAAAAGGGGATTTGGACACACATAATGACCTACTTTGCAACTAGATCATTGAAATAGACTCCTTAAAATTTACTCAGAAGCTGTGAAACAATCGGTTTGTGGAAGAAACGAAACATTATTTATGTGCATGATCTTTGTTACACTGTTCTCTGGAATATTTGATACTGATTGGTCAGTTACGAAATTCCAAGGTATGTTATTAACCGGTAACAACCGGTGAAACATCCAGCTCTTCCAGGGACTATAAAACATTTTGTCCATTGTGAATATATTCATATTTATTTATGCTTATCTGCCACTTCAACACAATCTCACGGCAAATCGTAACTTTTTGATTTAGTGACTCATTTGTATGAATTGGTACAATCTTGGTACAATCGATACAAAGAATACGATCCGATATATTAGCGATACATTTGTGACATATTGCGATGCAACACGATACGATTCACACCCATATCCAATACAATGCGATAATTCAGCACTAACTAATTAGATCAAGTTTATGAGATTATGTGAAAGAGGATGCTGTGCCATTGAATGAGTTTGATTATTTATTAACAAAGCAAAACCATGACTTTTTTTTACAAACTGGCTTTTCTCTCAGAGCCAGAGTGTCGGTTTACAGTAGAGGGCCATTTTAAAACATATAGCACATATTATTTAAGGATTTTCAAGATAAAAAGAATGTATAAGTGCAATATATATTAAAAATATATATATATTTGCACTCTTTCAACATAAAGGTTTAGCATTGCACAACAAGAATTGTGATTTAACTTTTCAACTATGAAAACAAGTTTTACAAAGATATATTTTGCCACTGAATATTTAAAACTTAAGGTGGTGAACTAGCAGTGTTATGCTGCTTTGAAACATCACTGTCACTGTAAACAACAGGCTAATAAAAATATAACAAACCAGCAATCTTCTTGCTTTGAGGTGGTCAAACTAACCACTGTGCCACCGTGACACCCATTATTTTTGTCATTATTATTATTAATATTATTATTATTATTATAATTAAATAAAAATTAACAGGAGGAGGTGTTTAAAACCTTCGTTCTCCGTGACACTAGGCTGAATATCTTTGCAGATGAACAATGCAGTAACATCCGTTATTGGCGTAGAGCGCACAAAACTGTTGCACATGGAAAAAAAAAACTTGCAATGCTGTTCTCACCACTTTTGGAGCTGGTAGCTACAGTTGAAGCAGTGCAGGAAGCCGGGGATGCAGGAACACTGGAAGATGCTTTCACAACAACACCGTGGCGCCGCTTCAAGTGAGATTTCAGATTAGTCGTACTGCCCGCGTATTTTACAGCGTGGCACATTTTGCAAATTGCATCTGTCCTGTCAAGCCGTCCATCCTTAAATCCATAATGTTGCCATACTTTAGATTTAAAACTCAGTGCGGAATAAAATGTTTGTTTTGCTTCTCGCGCTTTCTGAGGGCGCACCACTAGCTTCATCAGCACACCTGATGCACTGAGTTGTAGTGTAAGTGTACACATCCGCAAATCCGTTGCTAAGGCTTACTTTATGTAGGTCGATTAAATTATGCGCCAAAAACAGGTTGACAACACTTGTTAATAAATAAAAAATACATTCTATATTAAAAATATAAGCTGTATCTTGGAAAAACCGATGCATCTCGCAAAAACCGATACATCTCGATTTGCTTCCAAAATTTCATTCATCCTCTGCTGCTCAACCGATGCACTCGCATCGTGCACGCGCATGACCGCGTATCGATACATATCGATTAATCTTCCCATCCCTAATATATATATATATATATATATATATATATATATATATATATATATATATATATATATATATATATATATATATATATGCCAATTTAGACGGGGCATTTCATAGAATTAAATAAAAAAAAAAGTGAAAATCTGTAATAGAATGGCAAAACCATTACATTCGCATGGAGTTTCATCATAAATTGTATAAAGAGCACTGCGACTTTAGGTTTTTACTGCATTCGACAATAAACATTGTACAGTATAAAGCGCAATGTTTGATCTGCAAAAAATGACTCCTGTGAGCTGGTTGTTTTACAGCATGTCTACAGCAGACTCACCAAAGCAAAGCCTGAGTGTATGGATGTGACAAAGAACACACTGTAAATCATTTGTCCTTTGTGTCAGTACATCATAAATAAAGTGAAGCATTAGTTTACTGTCTGAGATTCATCACTCGTGCCACACCACATCCACTTTTAAAGTTTTAGTGTCTTTAGATTCACTACATTATGACTTTCATGGTTTGAGTAATCGTTTTGAATCAGACTTACTCAGTTAATCTGTTCAGGGTGAGATATTGAGTTTGCAATCCTCCCTCCCAGTCATTTTTCAGTTGAAACAAACCTGGCTTCATTACTGTGATGTCTCTTTTAGCGCTAA